GTCATTCGGGTCCCCACGTTCCCATTCAGGCAGCTCCTTTTTCAAAACCTTGGCATCGTCTAAATAATTGGTTCCCAGGACATCCGAACATTATGTGAAACCTACCCCCTTCGGGACAACCACACACTTGGCAAGCCCCACTCAGAACCCGTCGATCCTGAACTAACTCCAGCTGTGTGGCCAATCCGCCAGAGACATGGGTAGCCAACAACGAAGCCTCCAAGTCCTCTCCTTTCTTCCTGAGCTCCTCGCATACCTGGGCAATGGGCTCAAGCATGGGCCTGGAGCAGGTGACGCCGCCATGCTCCCACTGCAGGTCACCGACAGATACATCCTTAGTTGCCAGGTCCACGAGGCACTTGAGGCTGCGACTCCTAAGCTTACTGAGGTCGATCGGCATCTCAGTCGGCATGAGCCACTTGGAGTAACTCTTAGGGACCCATCGAATCCCCTGAAGCGTGCACACGACAGCCCCCGTAGGACCGCGGACCTCAGCCCAGGAAAGCTCTGGAAACTTCTGAAGGTAGAACCTGAAGACCTCCTCCATCTGCTGCTGGGGGGCCCATGAGCCCCAGAAAGCCTTACCCCAGAACACCAATGGAGCCGAGTTGCCGATATACACTGGATCGGCCGCCTCATTACCCGAGAGCGCAAACTGGACAGTTCTTGTCCGCCCTCGAGCTGGTCCAAAAATACCCTCAGCCACTGCAGATCTGAGGTACTGCAAGCGCTTGTCGGAAACTCCCATCACGCCAATTCCGCAACTGCCAGCTGGGAGGGTTCCCGTGCGAGAGATCGAAGTTAGTTTTTTTTTTGAATTGGGATTTAAGCGAACGAAACCGACCAGCTCTCAACCTGATCTTTCGGTTCCGAGTCTTCTGGATGTGAGCAGCACGACCCCGAAGCGAATAACCACGTCCAAGATTCCGAACCGAATGCACCGATTTGAATCCCCACGTCTTAATTAAGCCTTGCACATATGCCAGCAGACAGCTCGGCAGTAGAAGCAAGAACTTTACCTTTACGTCTGGAAATAATCAGCTGCCTGGCCTCGAGCCTGTTGCAGAGGTCGCGCGTGGCCTTGACGGCCGAGTCCCTGACTAACTTGGCAGTTGCAATTACCTGAATCGTGATGTCATCGACCACGTTAAAAAACCTGCACAACCTGTGTGAACTAACAATGCAATCAAGATCTGCAATGATAAGAACCCGTAACAGTGTTGTGGCATATCCGCAACTTGCCAAGATAGTTGCATACACCACCGTGGGCCTGGAAACGAGGAGGCCCATGAGGAGCACGCGCGGGCAAGAATACTGGACCAGGCAGAGGCGCAGGTGGTATAAGGGAAAACTGTGCTGCCGCGCAGCAGACAACAGCTGAAGGTGCTTCACCTTCTCGTACGCTTTGGTCAGGTCAATCAGCACATTCGCAACATCAAAACGGTTTATTGACGCATGCTCTGCTGCAAATGCTTGCTCCCAAATTGCTCTCTCACACGCTTTCCCTTTAGTCCCATACGAAAATCCCCTTTGATGATCCAACTCCCACTTCGCTGCTACACCTCTAGTACACCTGCTCCAAAGACGGACAGTCATACTCACGAGTGCGATGAGCCGATGACCGTCGTCATCAGGCTTTGGTAAGGCTGGCTGCAAAGTAAGCGAAATCTGAGACGGCATCATCCCATCACGGAGCATCCAGCTCCATAACGCATTCAAAGCTTCCAAGCACGGATCTGAAAGACGCAGAAAATCACGAGGTCCGAGCTTGTCCACACCGTGAGCCGTCCACGCTTTCATCCTCCTCGCGACCGATCGGATCTCGTCAGGGCTGAAGCTCATGATGGGGCTGGGGAGGTCCTTCAACATGTCTTTCAGCTTCTGGAACACACCTTCTGGATCTTCAAGGGGCCTGTTGGAGCCACTGGAGTCCCATATGCATTCCCAGTCCTGGAGGTTCTGCTCAATGAGGTCTGAGGGCCCAGGAGGTGCTTGTCCTTGTCGGGGTACCACAGGGCGCCAGCCCACTGGGGGCTTAGTGTACTGGTGGGCTCGACCTGCTCCTGCCTGCACTGCCTCCTGGACAAAACCTCGCCACTGCTTGGCTCGGGAACTGGCAAACTGCGCCTCGAGCTTCTTAGCGTAGCCTCCAGCACGCTCATGCAAGTCACCTAAAGCTTCTGAATCGCACCAAGCTAGATATCCTGCATCCAGATACCACAAACTTTTCCATTCTTCCGTGCCACGAATCCCTGGAGTACCAAGCAGTATCTTGGCGAACAAAGCTGCAGCTCCTACAGTGTCATTTACAGAGTCCTGGGCTCGGATTCGGGAGAGCTCCTGAGCCCAGTTCCCCCACTTCCTCCAGGCCCTGCTGACGGGGCACGCCACGGGGTAGGGTCCAGAGGAGGGGGGAAGGGCAGGGATGGTTTTTAATTTCCAACACAGTCCTCGTCCAGTATATCTCTTCCACTCAGACTGAGGAATACCATGTGCTGCTAGAAGTTACTTTCCTAACAATCCCATAAAGTTCCTGAGGACTGTTCATCTGGTGCTGATCTCTTCCATCCTCCAAACCTTGTATAACTCCTTCCCATTCAGCTGGTGGTGCAGGATGGGGGCATTGTGGGCGCTCACGTGGGAACTTGCGAGGTGCCTGCAGAACTGTGATGTACTGTGGGACCAACTTACCTCGCAGCCGCAGGAGCACTGGACGATGGGGCTTGATAGCTGCATTCAGCGCCACCGTGCACGAGACCACAGAAGGAGCCAGAGCATCAGATACTACAACATAATCTAACGTGCGCCATTCCCTCTTACCTGCCGTGCAAGTAGGAGAAACGGGAACAATGATACGACCTCGAAGTTTACTCGCCCATCCAAGACGACCCAAAAGCGCAGGAGGTGCATTCCAGTCTCCTCCAATCAGAAAAGGGAGCGAAGCCGCATGCAGAACCCCCCCCCAACCGACTCAACAATTGGGTTCCCTCTGCCCCCGAAGGGGTCCGTGGTAGGCATATATATATATATATATATATATATATATATATACTGATACTGCCAGGAAGCCTCCAGGTATTACAGCATTTATCCATTTCACCAAGACCCGATGAGGAAAAGGAAGAGGTTGAGGCCGTCCTGATGGGTTCCCCATCCCGATGCATACTGGAACCCCAATCGCAACTCCTCCAGATGGGCCTCCAGCTTCCGTGGTACGAGAAGGGCTTACTGCTGCCAGCAAACCCTGATCACGCAACATCTTCTCGCAGTCGGTCTTCCGATCCTGCGAGACGCCTACCTCTTGCAAGAGAAAAACCTGGGGCCCTCTTGGAGAAAAACTTGCCTTGCCACTGTGACTGCTTTCCGAAAGACTGCGTCTTTTCTGCGAACCTGTGCCTGCGCCTCGACGTAGGCTAAGCACGGCTTCCAGCTCGTGGTATTCACCGTGCGCAGGTACAGGTCACCGATGCTAAAGTACTGGCTTGCGGCCTCCAGCCGCCTCCGTACCCTTGCCGTCGCCGTTGCTGCCCTTGCCGCTGACGTTGCCGCTGCTGACGCAAGACTGGGCCTTCTCGAAGAGTTCATCGATGGATGGAGCTGGCTGGGGAGTGCTGGGCGCCGCAGGCTCATCCTCCGCCGCCGCGGCCCCCGCAGCTGACGCAGCCGTGCTCGCAGGCGCCACATGTGGTGCCTGGCCTGGCCGCGCACCGCCTCCATCAGCTCCTGCATCTCCATCGCAGCTCCTCCTCTTGGCCTGCATTCTCTGGTTGAAGCTGCGCTGCTCCTCAACCATCTTGGCGCACTGAGCCTGCAAGGACCCAAACGCCTGCTTTGTCGCCTCCTGCACCAGGGCCAGCAGCGCCGCCTTCCGAGTGTTGAGCTCCTCCCTCTCAGTCTCGCTGATCTCGATGCCTTGAAGGTCCAATCCAAAAAGGCCGTTATCATCGAGGTCGATCTGCTCACCATCCAGAAGGGCCTGCAAACTGATGCGCTGCACGTCATTGGCCACGATGGTATCCTTGGGCTCCACCACCTCCGATGCGAGCTTGGCCACCGCTTCTTTATACGTTTTCTCACACCGGTCGAAGGTAGTGAAGGCCTCAGCCGCACGAGCACGTGCTTCCTTGGCCTGGGCCTCCAAGGACTCAGCCCGCTTGACCGCAGACTCCATCTGCTGGCGGGCCTGCTCCATAGCGTACTGCGCCATGCCGACCGTTGGGGACTGGGGCTTGGCGGCCTCCTCGAGCTGCTGAATGATGGCCTCATGCTTGCGAGAGGCCGCAACATCTCCGATGGCCGCCATGGACTTCTGGGCATCACGAAGGCTGGGTAATTGCTCGATGGTGTAGTCATGTCGGACAGCTCCGCCGCCTGCACACGCCAACCTCCCCCACCAGCTGCTTGTCCCAGCTGCAGTCCCACTGCGCGAGGCGGAGCAGGACCCCCACCAGGGCCGAGAGCAGCATCGCGAGCAGGTGGAATCGCAAGGCTCCAGGCCCCCGACGGCGGGGCTCCTGCTGCTGCCTCGGCCTCTCTGCGGCCTGCACCGCAATGTTTGCACCACGTCCACCAATCCTCATTCTTTGCACAGTAGCGCCGTGTGCACTTCCATCTGGTTTGCTGCCATGTTTTCTTCTGCCATCCAGCTCCATCGGCGCGTGGGGCCATCAGGCGGGAAGAAGTACGTGAAGGTGTGAGGGATGAGGTCCCTCGGCCTGAGTGACAGAGTGCCGTGGGCCGCGCGCGCCCCAAGCAATCTCAGCCGATCGCTACGGATGGGTCCAAAGCTAATCGCTGCACCTCGGGCGTTTATAGCCCTTCGCAACGTTTAGCCTTGAGCCAAAATGGCTACGGACCCCTCCCCCCCCCTCCTCCTCCTCCTCCTCCTCCTCCTCCTCCTCCTCCTCCTCCTCCTCCTCCTCCTCCTGCTCCTCCTGCTCCTCCTCCTGCTCCTGCTCCTCCTCCTCCTCCTCCTCCTCATCCTTCTCCTCCTCCCGCAGGACGCCTGCCATGCAGGAGCTCTGGCTGGGCGCCGTCGGCGCAGAGAGCGCCAGCCACGCGGGCGCGCTGCTCGGGTGCCGCGGCCTCTGGCTGGCCGCGCCCGCCAGCCGCGCGGCGACCGGCCGACCAGAGTGGCTGCCCCCTGCGTTCTGCTCAGGGGCAGTGACAGTGGGGGATAGGCATAGGGGTATACATCGACCCCCAATCGCCCATTGATCGCCGATAGAGGCCCGATAGCCCCAAGCAGGTGGGGGCGCCCAGGCGGCGGCGGCGCCCAGGGGCAGGGGCAACGATAGAGGGGATGGAGGCTCGAGTTTTCGAGGTTCGAGCTTGGAGGTTCTCGTAAGTTTTCGCCGGTGCTCGGCGGTTTTCTGGCCTCGGGATGCTCTCCAGCAGACGTGCCTCGCCGAGGGCGTCCTGGGGGTGCCCAGAGCGTCCCGAACGGCCGTCGGAGCGCTGTCCCGAGAACCAGGGAGCAACGTTGGGGGGGATGGGCATAAGGGGGGATGCATCGACCTCCAATCGCCCATGGATCGCCGACAGGGGCCCGATAGCCCCAACCCGCCCAGGAAGGTGCTGTTTCGCTATCGGGGGCCTATCGCCGATCTGTCGACGGTGTATCCCCGATTTCAGGTCGATCCATCCCCCCTGTGCCAGTCCCCCCTGATTGTTGCCCCTCATCTGCGCGACTGCAAATCGAGCAGTGGCGAGGCGTCCTGGCTTGCCTACAGGCCCACGCCACAATGTTCTAAGAACCCGTCTAGTGGTTCGCACGACATGTTCTTAGAGCATTTCTGGCTGAGACTGTTTTGTTTCAATGCATCCGCGACGTTCTCTGATTTCAAGATCGTGTGATGCCCAGCAGCAGCGCCTGTCCATCTGGGAAGAGTTGCATGGGCTTCCACGCCGCACTGCCGGCCCCCTGGGGGTGCTGCGGCTTCTCGGAGCTTCTTGGGGGGCTCCTTGGGGCCTCGTTTCGGTTTTTGGGGGGGCCTCGTTCGGGGACCTTCTTGGGGGGCTTCTTGGGGCCCCTTGGGTGCTGCGGCTTCTCGGAGCTTCTTGGGGGGCCTCTTGGGGCCTCGTTTGGGTTTTTCGTGCTGGGGGGGCCGGCTGCCGGCCATCGGAGGTCTCCTAGCTTGGGGCGGGGGGCCGGACATGTCCGACGGCAGCGCCTTCGGGAGCCTCGAGACGGGGGTCAGTGCAGACGGGGGTCAGCCAGGGCGCCGGATCCTGCAGGATGCTGCGAAGACCCCCTCTGGCTGACCCGGGGTAGCGAGCCGCTCGTGGCCGCGAGGCGGCCGCGCCCATTGGCTGACCGGGTTTTGCGACGACCTGCGTTGCAGTTTTTTTTGTTTCTCCTGCATTGCAGTTTTTGGTTTCCTGCTGACCCGGGTCTGGATTGACCCTGGTCAGAAGATCCCTGACGCCTGCTCCTCTGGAAACAGGTGTGCTGTGCTTCGGTGCTCTCGAAAGTCCTTCAGTTTGGCCGGCGGAGGGGCTCATGCCCTTGAAGGATGCTCTTCTGTCCTAGGTCCGGCCGTACTCCGCGCCCCCCTCCGCGCCCCCCGCCGTCGTCGTGGTCGTCGTCGTCGTTGTCGTCGTCGTCGTCGTCGTCGTCGTGGTCGTGGTCGGCGTCGTCGTCGGCGTGGTCGTGGTCGGCGTCGGCGTCGGCGTCGGCGTTGGCGTCGGCGTCGGCGTTGGCGTCGTCGTCGTCGGCGTCGGCGTCGGCGTCGTCTGCGTCGGCGTCGGCGTCGTCGTCGGCGTCGTCGTCGGCGTCGGCGTCGTCGTCGGCGGGCCCCCCGTGGGCGCACCGAGGCGCCCCGGGGCCGGCCGAGTGCCCCGCGGCGGGCCCCGCGGAGAGGTCGTGGCCCTCCTGGCAGGAGATCGAGGCCCCCCCCCCCTGGCGGGCGGCGGCGCGGCCCGGGAGGGAGGGGCGAGCGGGGGGGTCCTCGCTCTTCCTCGCTCCTCCTCGCTCCTCCTCGCTCCCCCTCGCTCCTCCACCTCCTCCGCCTCCGCCTCCTCCTCCTCCGCCTCCTCCTCCGCCTCCTCCGCCTCCTCCTCCGCCTCCTCCTCCTCCTCCGCCTCCTCCTCCGCCTTCTCCTCCTCCTCCTCCTCCTCCGCCTCCTCCTCCTCCTCGCTCCTCCTCCTCCGCCTCCTGCGCCTCCGCCTCCTCCTCCTCCTCCGCCTCCTCCTCCGCCTCCTCCGCCTCCTCCTCCTCCGCCTCCTCCTCCTCCTCCTCCTCCTCCTCCGCCTCCTCCTCCTCCCCCTCCTGGTGTAGCCGACCTACCGGCAGTTCTTTGAAATGTGGCTGTTGCCTTGGCGCCGCGCGCGCTCGTCTAACAAGCTTGCAGCCGTTTCAAAGATTCGTAGAGTTAGAGTCCCAGGAACTATGCTCTGGCGCGACTTAGGAGTGGCAGGATGCAACAGTCACTTTGATCCGCGGCGGTGACGTTCCCAGAATGGTGTTCTGCCACGATGTAGCATTGTCAGGACGCAGCAGTCACGCTGATTCCTGGCATTGAAGCCCCAGGAATGGTGTTTTGGCACGATCGACGATTCTCAGACGGTTGTCTTTCAGGGTGGCATTTCCCGCAATGAAAACAAGTATGCTATTGTAGTTCCCCACATGAGGATGTTACGGTGCTAGCGGTATCAAGGGGGTTTTAACAAGCAAGAACAAGGGTAAACCGATAAACAACAAGTGACACGCGTGCCATGGCTCTTGCACATAATGGAGAGGGAGGAGTAGGAGCAGGAGGAGGAGGAAGAGGATGGGGAGGGGAGATGGATGACGAGAAAGAGAAGACAAAGGAGGACGAGGAGGAGGATAATGAGGAGCTAAAAGCGGGGGAAGCGAATGGCGACTGAGAAAGTGAGAACACGGGAGGATGAAGACGAGGAGAGAGAGAGCATGGGGGAGGGTTGGCGAGGAGGAAAGGGGAGCGCCGCGAGCAGGAAACGGAGTCAGTAGACGAGGAGGGGAAATACGGGAAGGGAGCAGCATTCACAGATGCGAAGATGCCGAACAGGGGTCTGCAGGGCGGGGCGGGGGAGCGCGCCGGCTGGCGGGCGAGGAGGACCAGGGTGGCCATGGGGTGGGGAAGGGGCGCGGCGCCTGTGTTATGCCGAGATGGAAATGTCGGAGCGCTGACTGGGCGGGGAGGAGCTGGGCGGGCTGTGGGGGCAGGCAAGGGCGCAGCGCCACAGCTGTGCCGAAATACTGCGGTCGGGGCGGAGGGGGCGCGCTGGTTGGTGGGTGAGGAGGAGTTTGGTTAGCTGTGGGGTGGGAGGGGAGGGCGCGGCGCCGCTGGCGTGACGAAATAAAAAGGTCGGGGCGGAGGGGCGCGCGGGCTGGCGGGCAAGAAGGAGGTGGGCTGGCCGTGGGGGCGCAACGGGGGGCGCGGCGCTGGTGCCGTGCCGAACTACGAGATGAAAGGGTCGGGCGGAGGGGGCGCGCTGGCTGGGCAAGGATGGAGCTGGGCTGGCAGTGGGGGTGGCAAGTGGCGCGGTGCTCGTGCCGTGCTGATCTATAAGAGTGGGGGCGCAGGGCGGGCGCGGGCTGGCGAGGAGGACTTGGATCGGGGTGGAGAGGGCGCGCTTGCTGATGGGGGAGGGGAAGGGGATGTTGGCTGGCTGTGGGGGGAGGGGGGAGCGTGCGGTGGCGGTGCAGTGCCGAAAAAAGGTGGTCGGGGCGGGGGGGGGGCGCTGGCTGGTGGGAGGGGGGAGGGGGGCGGGCACTGCGCCGATTGGTGTGCCGAAAGACAGGGGTCGCAGCGGAGGGGGCGCGCTGGCGGGGGATGGGGAGGTGGGCGGGCCGCGGAGGGGGGTGTGAGCGGCTGGCGCGGCGCCGGTGCAAAGGGTCGGGGCGGAGGCGCGCTGGCTGGTTGCGGAGATGGGGAGGGGGGCGGGCGCAGCGCCAGTGCAGTGCCGTGCCGGGGCGTGATGGCTGGCGCGAGGGGGCTGGCCGCTGCGGAGGGGGGCGGAGGGGGGGCCGGTGCCGTGCCGAAGGAGGGTGGTCGGGGCGGAGAAGGGGCGCTGGCGGCTGCGGAGGCAGGCGCAGGGGGGGCCGGTGCCGTGCCGAAAGAAAAGCGTCGGGGCGGACGGGGCGCGCTGGCTGGTGGAGGGTGGGGGGGGTCGGGCGAGGCGCCGGTGCCCTGCCGAAGTGAAGCGGTCCGGGCGAAGGGGGCGCGCTGGCAGGTGGGGGAGGGGAAGTTGGGGCTGCCTGCGGAGGTGGGAAGGGGGCGGGCGCGGCGCCTCTGCCGTGCGGGAATGCAAGGGGTCGCGGCGGAGGTGGCGCGCTGGCTGGCGAGGAAGGGCGAGGTGGGCTAGCCGCGGAGGGGGACGGAGGGCGGACGGATGCCGTGCCGAAGTGCAGGGGTCAGGGCGGAGGGGGCGCGCTGGCGGCTGCGGAAAAGGGTGGAGGAGCGACCAGTGCCATGCCGAAAGGGACAGGTCGGAGCCCTGGGCGCAGTGTGCAAGAGAATAAGGCACTCCGATTATCTCCTCTCTCTGGCAGGGCCTCCCTGGAGCGGTGGGGAGGGCACGAAACCTGATAGACAACATGGTATTCCGATACCCTCCTCGCTCTGGCGGGGCCTCCCAGGAGCGGTGGGATGGGCACGAAACCTTCTAAATAATAGGGTGCTCCGATACCCTCCTCGCTCTGGCGGGGCCCCCTAGGAGCGGTGGGAGGGGCACGAAACCTTTTGAATTACATGGAACTCATATACCCTTTTCGCTCTGGCGGGGCCCCCTAGGCGCGGTGGGAGGGGCACGAAACTTCATAAAATGTAGGACGCTCCGATACTCTCCTAGCTCTGGCGGGGTCTCCCTGGAGCGGTGGGACGGTCACGAAACTTGATAGACAATAGGGTATTCCGATACCCTCCTCGCTCTGGCGGGGCCCCCTAGGAGCGGTGGGAGGGGCACGAAACCTTTTGAATTACATGGAACTCATATACCCTTTTCGCTCTGGTGGGGCCCCCTAGGAGCGGTGGGAGGGGCACGAAACTTCATAAAACATAGGATGCTCTGATACTCTCCTCGCTCTGGCGGGGTCTCCCTGGAGCGGTGGGACGGTCACGAAACCTTACACATGATAGGATACTCCGATACCCTCCTCTCTCTGGCGGGGCCTTCTTGTAGCGGTGGGATGGGCACGAAACCTGATAGATAATAGGGTACTCTGATACCCTCCTCGCTCTGGCGGGGCCCCCCAGGAGGGGTGGGAGGGGCACGAAGCCTGATGAAGAATACTAGGGTACTCTCTCTGGCGGGCCCTCCTTGGAAGGATGGGAGGGGCACGAAGCCTTACACATTATAGGATACTCGGATACCCTCCTCGCTCTGGAGGGGCCTCCTAGGAGAGGTCCGAGTAGTAGAAGCAGTAGTAGTGGTAGTAGCAGTAGTAGCAGTAGTAGCAGTAGTCGTAGGCGTAGTAGTAGTAGTAGTAGTAGTAGTAGTAGTAGTAGTAGTAGTAGTAGTAGTAGTAGTAGTAGTGGTAGTAGTGGTAAGTAGTAGAAGTAGTAGTAGGAGTAGTGCTCGTAGTAATACGAGTTGTAGTCTCAGTGTTAGCAGTGGAAGTAGTAGCAGCAGTAGCAGTAGTAGTCGTTGTAGTAGTAGTAGTAGTAGTAGTAGTAGTAGTAGTAGTAGTAGTAGTAGTAGTAGTAGTAGTAGCAGTAGCAGTAGCAGTAGCAGTAGTAGTAGTAGTAGTGGTGGGCGTAGTAGGTTTTCCCGTCGCGCTAGTTTTCTTTTTTTTCCAACCATCCTGTGGTGTTGGGTCCTCGTTTTGAAGAGACAGCGCCCCGCGTCCACTCCTCCCGCTGCCCCTCCCCCTCCTCCTTGCGTTTCACCCACCCAGCACAGCGTTTCGTAGCCCCATAGGGAGCTCCACCGAAGGCCCCAGTGGCAGGGTTCGCATGGCGGCCTCGGGCCATCTCGGCACACCCCTCACGAGGATCGTGGCCCCATAGGGAGCTCCACCGAAGGCTCCAGTGGCAGGGTTCGCATGGCGGCCTCGGGCCATTTCGGCACACCCCTCACGAGGATCGTGGCCCCATAAGGAGCTCCACCGAAGGCGCCAGTGGCAGGGTTCGCATGGCGGCCTCGGGCCATTTCGGCACACCCCTCACGACGATCGTAGACCCATAAGGGAGCTCCACCGAAGGCGCCACTCGCAGGGTTCGCATGGCGGCCTCGGGCCATTTCGGCACACCCCTCACGAGGATCGTGGCCCCATAGGGAGCTCCACCGAAGGCGCCAGTGGCAGGGTTCGCATGGCGGCCTCGGGCCATTTCGGCACACCCCTCATCAGGATCGTGGCCCCATAGGGAGCTCCACAGAAGGCGCCAGTGGCAGGGTTCGCATGGCGGCCTCGGGCCATTTCGGCACACCCCTCACGATGATCGTGGCCCCATAGGGAGCTCCTCCGAAGGCTCCAGTGGCAGGGTTCGCATGGCGGCCTCGGGCCATTTCGGCACACCCCTCACGAGGATCGTGGCCCCATAGGGAGCTCCACCGACTGCCCCCAGTGGCAGGGTTTGCATGGCGGCCTCGGGCCATTTCGGCACACCCCTCACGAGGATCGTGGCCCCATAGGGAGCTCCACCGAAGGCGCCAGTGGCAGGGTTCGCATGGCGGCCTCGGGCCATTTCGGCACACCCCTCATCAGGATCGTGGCCCCATAGGGAGCTCCACTGAAGGCGCCAGTGGCAGGGTTCGCATGGCGGCTTCGGGCCATTTCGGCACACCCCTCACGAGGATCGTGGCCCCATAGGGAGCTCCACCGAAGGCGCCAGTGGCAGGGTTCGCATGGCGGCCTCGGGCCATCTCGGCACACCCCTCACGAGGATCGTGGCCCCGTAGGGAGCTCCACCGAAGGCCCCAGTGG